ATTTGCAGTACCGGTACAATCCAAATTTATATACTTGGCTTAAGGTACGTAACAGCTTCTTTTCTCTACTAAAATGTATTCTGATTTTTCCTTGAATCTCTGAAACTTTCGTTTTAAGCCCAAAATCAGTTGAAACGTGACCTTCATTAACCCTTTCATTGCCAAATTTAGCCAAAAGCAAATTTCGACCAAATTTCCAAATTTCATTTTGTAAAATTTTGAAAAATAAATTGCACCATGTGTAAGTACAGGCAGAGAGCTTTCATTTGAGTGGTCACATCATAGGATTTCGTTCACAGACTCAAGAGTTAGAATCACCTTACGAAACTCCATCAAACACTCTGGCAGTGAAAGGGTTAAAGGAATTTGTGCCAAACTATTTTTCTATCTTTTTAAAAAATTTAAACGTGTTTTCGCAGACATCATGAATTGTCTCCCCACCGCTGGGCGCGTTTGTGTTGTAGTTTCTCCATTTTAAGGCATCAAAGCTATAATTTCCTGTCGTCTGTTGCTACGGATGGCAATGGACCTGAAGAAAATCGCCAAAAACTCATTATGGTTAGTGATCTCTGATGAAATTTGTTTGGTGTCTTCTTCGTAACTCTACAGGCGCATTTTCTGAATGTGTAAAGGTACTAACGACTTCAGCATAAAATTGACCTAAAACAGCATTATCCTCGTGAGATGCTCCAAAATGGAGGCTATGAACATGATACATATTCGAATCCCTCTTTACTTAATCCTTCCTAATACGGAGAACTCTTGTATTCCGATCCAAGGTTGTCAAATTTCATACATTCCTTACATCTGTCATTTTTTCACCTCTATACTGGAGACAGGAAATTGCCCCAGTGGTCTGCATGTAAGGGGGTGTTTACATGACACCGGGACGACTTTAGCGCCGGCGCAAGTTCACTCCGGTTCCCTCTCATGGCTCTATATTTGCTTATATGATACCACCACAAAATGTCATGCCGGCGCGAGTCACCCCGGCGTAAGTTCACCCTGGTTATTGTACCGGAGCTAGAAATTCACTCCGGTACAAAATTTCGCAACAGTATCATGTAAACACGAAATGACCACCTGTTTCGGTGTGAAATCGGTTTGCAGGTGAACTGGATCGGCCGGTACCGCATACGTAATGTCTGCGATTTTGAATCGCACGTGTACTTTATCGACATGAAGTGTACCTTCAAACAAGTAACCGTGACATGAAATAACCCATCATCATGTAAACGCGATACGAAATAAAAAAGTCATCCAGGTATGAAACTCGCGCCCGTGCGAGTTTTCTGTATAAGTCTCCCATAAAGGGAAGGGGAGCACTCAAATAAGTTTTGTTGTTTTATTATCATTTTGCCATTCAAACAAAACATACTTAATTATAAAATTTAAAAATAGTCGAGGCAAGGGAGCCCAAGGGAGCCAATAAGGCTTGTGAATAGGACCACCTTTAGAATTAAGTTATCTATTATTAATAAATATAATACTGACATCGGCAAGACAATTTAACTCTAAGCACGCACAATTTCTTTAGAACATAGAAAATAATCATTAAGTAGGATAAAAATAGATATGGCTGAACGTGTAAGTGCAAAATTAAAACGAAAAAAGAAGATGAGATAAAATAATGCAAGAATAAACGAGAAAAAAAAATAGCGAAAGAAGCGAAAAACTAGACACGATCATTAAGAGAAATAAAGTGTGCTTATACCAAGAAAAATGACTCAAGTTTAGAATTGAACGAAGCAATAATAGAGGCATTCTCAATTTCAAAGCTAAGGAATTAAATATTTTGGGCCCTTGAAAACGAAGTGAAAATTTCGTTACATTTGTCCCGCAGTAGGGTAAACGGAAGGAGTTCTTACTTCTAGTTTTATGAATGTAAGTCACAGTTGAGCAAAAACATGTCATTAAAACTATTAGGAAGAAGGCGATCACCGTGTAAAGATACATAACTTTACCCCTTTGGAGTTTGATAATAAGCTATAATATCTTCAAATTTTAGAACTCGGCATCTCACAAAAATGGGATTGGCATGCGCTTGTGCATCAAAAGAAGTAAATTTATAAACGACCTTTAATAGACAAGGTACCCCTTTCGTATACCTTTCATAGACAAATAGTACTCCTTTCGCATACCTTGTTTAAAAAGCTGCATCCCAATTAACGGTTGTAGGTTAGTATTAATAAATCATTAAGCCAGAAAATTCACTTTCACAGCTATTTAAAGCATCTGTTAGCCGTTTTAAGTCCCTTTACAGACCTTAATGATAGATTCCTCTACTCTTTCATATACTTCAACTCAGAACTTCCCCGTTTACGCCATCAAAGGGAGTACCCAGTGCCCCAACCCCCTCCCCTCACCACACGTCATTAGTCTGTATATGTTGCACGGCTCAAGCTCCTTCTACTTGTCTCGAGTAATCTCCGTTTCTTAGCTCATTCAACGCGAAAAATGGAACCAAGCGCTACACAAGAGAAGGATTGAATTTATTAGACGTCCAGTCAACATTTAAAATTCCTTTGAATTTTAGGCAAATTTGTGTTAAAGGAGAAGGAAAAACTTCATCTTTGTAGAGGAAACCTTTCACTAGGTAACGCGATCCACTCGACTAAAAACAAATATTCCTAAACTTTTCTGTATATGAATATATGTCTCTCGTCTAAACAAGAAATGTTGTCTTCTGTGCAGCAAAAAATCATAGCTTGAATCAATTTTGTCTTTCAGCTTTTTATTTTTATTATTTTTTTAGCAGATTTTTCTCGCTAACCTTCCTCTAGTTTTTGGTTATAGTTTTGGTCTTTGAAGGCATTTTGATGCTATTTTCGCCGATACCTAAAACGACCTTTCACAATTTTGTTTTCTTGCTGCTATCAATTATTGGATTATATTTCCCTTTAATTCAAACTTATTTATTTCTCCTGTTTATTAATTAATAATGATGTTGTTTTACAATCAAGATACAAACCGACTCATGATCAATTCGCACACAAAAAACTTTCCTAGATCAAACGGGAAGAAACCCCAAGAAGAATTTCGAGAAATGACGAAATTGGTTTTCGATTTTTTATCCGTTTAACGAACGGGAAAATAGTCTGAAATGTCTACCTTCTCCACTCCCGCCCCTAACCTCTGGGGGGCGCGGGGAAGAGAGTCTCTCTCCCCCGCGCCGCCCTCGGGCTAGGGGGTGGAGAGAGCTCACTGTCCAAACCAACGCGCAAAAAACATCCTTAGCATTGACGTTTATACATTTTTATTAAACTGGTACAAAAAAAACAGTCTATTTGAGTGTCATTGTGTTTAGCACGAAAGTGCTACTCGAAGACACTATTTTTAATTGTGCTACTGGAGACGGGTCCGCCATTTTACGCGGTGATCCGAGCCACGCGAAGGTCTAGCCGTTTGCAGGGCAAAGGCAGTACTGCACCTTTGTTTCTCAGTTATTTTAAGACCACGATTTTGGTCCGACCCCAAAAAACGAACCAAAAACATCCCTCATTGCAGTAAAGGGCTCTACAGACTGATCTAATCCTGCCGCGGTTTTATTTTCTTTATGAATATGCCCCACCAAATTAAAACTGCAAGTGCATAAAAGTGAATCATAACTTACACAAAGGAACTTCAAATTTGTCTTGGTAACTGTGTAATAACCAAAACAGCTCAGACTGGTTATTAAACATCACTATCTATATCGGCCACCTGCGTTCCATAAGATATCGATACGATTTACAGAAGCCCTGATAAACATTTCTTTAGCTTTTGTCGGTGACAGAGAATTGTACTCTTTTCGTTTTTCTCTATTCTTTTCTTTAATTTTATAGTTAGTTACTGACAATATTTGGATTTTTGAGAACAGATCAAAACAGGCACGCTATCATTTTTGTTTATTACGTTTTCGAGCAGGTGCATTGAAACAGATTATACATAGGTGTTCTTTCACTGTCCCTTTTCAACAGTAAAAAAATAACAATTGCGCGAAGACATTTTCTGTCAAAATTGACCATTAGATTGTTAAAATTGGCTAGAATAGACTTTATATTGAGGCATGTTTTCATTAAAAATGTGATCAATTTATAACGGCGAGCTTTGTTGAAACACAATTATGAACTAAATTCCCTGAAGCAATAATTATAACAAACAACTTTGCGGTTGGCCGTAATAGGTTTACTGGCCACCGAGATTAATATTGTGGCTAGTTTTAATTGAGTGTCTAATTCAGTGCTGTCATTGGCTAGAAAAGACTTTGACTCACTGTCATCTGAAACAGGAAAATGTAAAGTGTCTGGTGGTTTTATATGTTACTATCACTTAACAAGTGTATAAATATTCAGGCTTACTAGCCCGTTCAAGAAAACTTGCTCTTCTGGACCAAATGATCTCTCGACATTGAAATGTTTTCTCCATTTTTTCGTCGGTTTCTTTTCTTTGTGTTGTCTTCAAAGATAGTTGAAGCACTGTATGCACAAGGTTAGTTTGGAATTTCATTCTTGTTCTTGTTCTTGTCCTTTCTTATATTCTCACAAACAAAGCCGTTTAAACCTATATGTAGCTCTTAGATCCTAAGTACAAAAAGGGAAACATAACACTATTTTTAGAGAATTACAAAGCACAGAGAAAGATCTTTAATTGAAAAAGGATTCGAATATTTTAGCTAAGAGTATATTCAAGAATAAGTTGAATTAAGTTAATTGATGAATTATTAGCAAAAAAAGTGTTTGCTTCCTATTTGTGCTTACTATCTAGAAACTAAAAAGAGAGTATCCGATGCCATTTATCTGGCCACGTGTGGAAAACTAAGCGGCAGCGACGGGTTCAAAATTTTAGTTTTCTGGTTTTTGGCAAGAGTAGATAAGTTAGTTTTCAATTTTTTACACATATTTTTACAAATCAGTTAAATATATTGAATTTATCACTTGAAGTTACCCGATTTTTTGCGGGAATTTTTGGCCTGATTCGTGGAATAACATTTTTTCACTATCATAACAGAATCGCATGCAATGCGCCACCCAAATCACCTTCAAGATGTTTTTGTAAAAGAAGAGTACCACTTTTTAAATGTCCCTGGAATTGGAACGTTTACAGTGTACGACACGTTTGACTGCACCTTTGAATGCCTCAGCAATCCGTCATGTTTGTCCCTGAACCTGGTCGCCTCCAAAGGAGCCGGTGGAAAACTTTGGTGCGAATTGTTGACTTCGAATAAAGACATTAACCCAGACGAGTTCAAAGAAAACAAGACTTCACATCACTTTGCTTTGAAGGTGCGAACATAGTTTTAATTAAATAAGCTCTAAATTATTAATTATCCTGTAGTGTCAAGACTGAAAACCTAAGCTGATTATGGATCTCAGAATTTTAAGAGACAACTCTAAGCTTCATTTAGTAAAAAAGTGAAAATTTACAGGTAATTTCAGTGCAATTATAAATTAAAGTAAACAGTGATTTATTTTGCTACAGGGGCAGACGATAGTAGACTATTTTCAGAAAGGCAAACATCAATAAACCGCTCATCTCTTAAATGAGATGAGTCTTAATAAATATAAGGCGCTTCAAAAGTCAGAACTGGCCGGCCAGACCATGGATGGAACAGTCTTTTTGACCTTGAAATAGGCATTTCCCAAGAATTTTAACTGAAAAACCATCTCCTTCGTGCATGGTATTTAGGATTTGACTGATCTGGCCACAGGTGGCCCAAGATCGGCCGACTGACTGCATGCCCCTGGGTCTCCGAGGACGCTGTTCAAACAAATCGAGATTTTTTCTATATTGACTGTATGACAGTATATTTCAGCTGTAAGTACTTTCCTTAATATACGCGCGAGTTACTAGGGTGCCTCCTCGGGATTTCGCCTTCCTGTGGAGGCAATAAATTGTACTTACGTAAACTTGGGTCTGTTGTTGCTTTTTCTGTGTAACCTGGGCTCAGTTCATGGCCATTTTATACGGTTTTGCTGCTCGTTGTTTGTTCGGTGTTGTTTTCCTACATAAGGCGAAGCAAGGCAGTTGACTCTGTGCAGTCTCAACTCACAAATCTCTTCCGCATCAAAGAACCGCGCACCGATTCACCATGAAAGCGCCAAATTCTTAACGACGGGTCAGTCTCTTATCTCTTCCCCTTGTCATCTGGATTGTTTTTTGTGGGAAATTTTTTGGATAGTGTTTGGTTCTGGGCAATCTGACGTGCGTTCAGGAACCTCGATGACTACGTGTTGCGTGGTGAAGGCGAACATGGACTCAGGGGATCCAAATACAAAACATGGATCTTCCTACCCTGAGATAGCTTATTATGGGCTCCTGGAATTATCCAATTGGATGAGCGTATATAAAATGTTCGCGTTTACGTAAGAACTATAGGTCCATTTATACGAGAAAAAATAAGACGCGTCTTAAATAAGACGCGAACTTTCCGTATAAACGGCACATTTCGTCTAAAATAAGACGCGGCTTAGCTACGACGCGTCTTATTAGATAAGACATGCTCGAATAAATGGTACAGTTCGCGTCTTACGTAATAAGACGCGTCTTATTTTTCCTCGTATAAATGGCCCTTATTTATTTTTTATGTTAATGCCCATATTTCTGTGGTTTAACAACTATATTGAATTTCTCATACAAGTATTTAAATCGTTCGTAATATGCAAAACAGTATCGAAACTCGCGGTGATTTATGCACCGATCTTGGGCCGCCTGTGACCTGGCTGGATAGTTCTAATTAAAAGTGAAATTCCCGTTACGGCAGGAATGATCTGGCCACTCAGTTCTGACAAATGGAAAGCGCCCTTAGATTAAGCTAGTCTTCTCCGCAGCTTAAGAGGCAGTCTCCCTAAAAGCGTTCCAATCGATTTTGGACTCGAAAAAACTTTTGCCTCATAATTTTACCATCAACACTACTATCCATCCTGATAACGAAATTGCAGTTAGAATGAGGAAATTGTTTATTTTACTGCCATTCCCAGCATTTCATTGCTGGACGACCGTTAGCAGCTAAAATATGCAAATTTTAGTCTCTGCTATACAGGTTTTTTAACGATCGTTCTAAAGTTCTTCGGGTCATCAAATCCTAGACTATTGCACTCATTTGGAAGCATATTACTTCTTCTTACTGTTCCAATACCGTTTAGGCGTTATCTTTCTGTAATCAGCAAAAACTGGTCGTCTTTATTTCGCTAATCCAATTAAGAAAGCAAACTGCACGAGAAAATGCCTCAAAAACATCTCAAAATTCTCAAAAGTGGCACCTAAACTAGACCTAAAAACATGTTTTAGTTAAAGATTAATAGCTATTTTGTCAAGTTATGCAATAAAACTTGTGGCACAACGCGATTCAGAATTGAAGGTTTCAACTCAAATTTAGGCAAATGTTCAATTTGCGTTGCGTGACGATACCGGCTGCTGTCACAACAAAATCCTCAGTTATTGAAATACTTGCCACTTTTAAGTAAGATATGCCTCACTTTCACACCAAAACTATATTAAAATTCCGTTTTTCCCTTTGCCAATGATACATGTTGTTCAAAAATTAGTTCAGCAAGTAAAAGATACCTTTCCAAGCTTCATTTAATATTCCCATTGCCCCGAACATTTGTGTTAAGTCTGTTGTGTCAAGACGGAAAAATACCTTTTCAGAACCAAACCTCTTCTAGCTTAAAATGTGGTCCAGTCTGAAAAAGCTGCATTGACCAGAAGTTACTCCGATCCATCATATTATAAAATCGAACGTTAGAAGAAAAGTAAATTTCCCACTGCTTGATTAAATATGCGTGAACAGGTCAGAAAATGTTTGACTTGTACTTCGCCCCACGTAAGGGTATCCGGATTCCGGAAACTGGAAAATTTTTGCTTGTAGGATCCGGAATCCGGGAAAATTTTGATATGAAATCCGGAATCCAGGGCTTTGGAATCCAGAATAGAGCTCAAGCACCCTACTAAGGAATGAAATTCCACCGGAAAAGACTGGAATCCAGCACCCGGAATCCTGAATCCATGGAATGGGATCCAGAATCCACGACTGTCTTGTATTCGCTAACATGGGGCGATAGTACTGGACTGTGAACGACGACTTACAATTTTCCCTTTATTTACCTTCCACTGATCATATTTGAAGACTTTGTTAATGAAATTTCAATTAGTAGGTTTCTTCCATTTCCTGACTGTTTCTTCCTATTAACAGTGGTCAGCGTTTGTTTTCACGCTCCAAGAGACAGTCTGGAGTCTAAGGCTACTTTTGTATCGCAGCCAGTTAATAAAGAAGTTGGCACACGCAAATAATAAAGTTTCAACATTAATTTCGAATCGTGCAACATCAGTGAAAGTAACAAGAAAATAAAGTGTGGAAGTTCACGCGTTTTTCCCAACTGATAAAAGTACACGATTGTCAGGACACCATTACTTCTTACCATGAAACCTGTCATCCATCGAAGTCTGAACTAAGTGAAGCCGACCCAATACTCTCAAAAGATGGTAATCATTGACCTTACGAAAAATCAAGTGGAACAGATGGTGATCTGCTTCTCCAGGAGGACTCCCATGCAAAAGTGACGTGGGTGCTCGTCGTTTGCAGATTTTGGTCTCACTTCGGTTGTTTGGGACGGAAAGTACCTAAATATGCTCATCCAGGTATCGCTTAAGGCTGTGCATAAAGAAATTTGCCAAAAAAAAAAACACGGTGACGCTGACCTCACAGAAATCTCCTTTAGGGGTCAGTTTAAGCTTGAGCCACACCCACATTGGCCTCCCTTAGGGGTTTAAATAATAAGTTATTAATTTTCCGACGAGCAGCCCTTCACTTTTATATGAAAGTCCTCCCGGGGATTACCGACAAATATCGGCATATAAACTCGGACGATTTTGGCGGACACCTCGTATAGAGGACCAAGAAAGGAATATTAGGACCAAGGACAGGCATGTAATTGGTGTGGAGATTGCTAAGATCGTATACCATCTGTTTTAAAGGATGGGATCACGTACGTATAAAATCATAAAATCATTGCTAATATCCTTATCACTAGTTCCTTTATCTGTGATAAGATAACGACAAAAGGGCCAATGGGTATTGTCATAATTGTAACTTCAAGTTCAGACAATGATAAACTCAGTAGTGAGTGATGAAGTTATGGAGAAAAGTAGGAAGTGGCTTTAAGTCAAATATCCTGATATTAATCAGTGTTGCAGTATGGCATAAAGTTACACAGTCAGCTGATGCACTTGCACATTTGATATCATTTATTTATGACCTGACGGATTTGAATATCACAAGATACACGCGTGAAACAGAAAGTGATAAGCGCATATCTAAACCTAATTTGGAGTCGGAGTTAAATTGCCAAAATCGTGATTACCTACCTTTAGGCATATTACTGAGAGTACTCATGACAATTGTTTAGTACCATGGAGAATTCACTGACAGAATTTTCTATTGAAGCCCAACGTAGACAAAAACCTCTGAATTCGAACAATCAGTAGAGGTGAGAACTGACGTGAAGTCTGAATCCGGCATTGTCGAAGGTTTCCCGAGCATGAACATTTCTCCAGGTCGAGACCCCTACACTGTTTTTACGTCTTTTCTCGTCTCACGTCTTGTTAGCGGTTATTACCCTGTTCTTACAGGCGCTTGCATTCTACCACGTTAATGATGTAAAAATACATACATCTGAACAACAGCTGAAGGATCTAGGATCACATTTTTAAAAATCGGCCTTTGGACCCTCCGTGTGGATCCAAATTCATATTGATATCGATTTTACTAAATTAAGCGCCACCGCGTTTATCATTTCGTTTTTGCGACTACAGTGCGGCGCTCATTTGATGCACCAGCCTACCGCGGACAGTTTTGTTGAGCCACTCAGAGAGGATCTTATTGCTTTTATATGTCTGCATACCGAGATGCTATGACAAAGAATATAAAGACCGCAAATACTTCACAAATCTTATGAAAAAATACAAAACAAAAACGAGCGAGATTGCATGCGAGTAAACAAAGATCTGGTACAAATTTCCCTAAAACAGTCAAATATAACAATATAACAAGCTTAACAACTTGACAGGCTAACGGTTTTATTCGGTGGTGGTATAAAAAAGGCTACAACCGAACACTGTCTGGCTACCCCTGGCTACTCAGTCACTTCACTCGCTGTCCATCACGAAATTGATAGAGTACAGCATTACCAGCATAGCACTAGCACTGTATATAGACAATCAGATTTGTGATCGAAGGCCGGTAGATTTATACATCTTAGAATTTATACTAATATCAAATTCCTAAAGGTGTCCGGACACTAACTTAATTCAATGTACATTTCACAGCTGATTTCATTTTTTTAAGGGCAAAAAACAATTTACTTGATAAGAATTTATAAGTACGAGACTTATTGTGGCGTAGACGTAATTAACGGATTGTTGATTTTACTTCTTTGAACTCCAGTCCTCATTTTCTTAATTTTTCTTTAAGGACTACCGTGTACCATCGTCCCATATAGTGTAAAGGTGAATGTGTGAAGGACATTCTAGCCACAAAATGTAAATTCTTCCACCTGTCACAAGACAGGAGAAGCATTGTTCTCGTTAATGTTATCTGTAAAACAAAAATGTTCGTTAGAACGCGATTGAAGTATGTCGAATAGCCTCTTCCAGACGTTCAGACTGTGGGGGCGACCCTCCAAGGGATGCCAGTAAGAAAAGGGCGAAGGGGTGGGGTAGAGAGAAATGCGTATTTTTCCTGACCCACTCTACTAATAAGAAGGCCAACTACTGGGAGTCGAACAAAGGACGGCCGGCCGAGACTATTAATACGAAGGTCAGTGGAAAAGTAAACTTAAACTTCTATAAGCTTAACCTATTTACGATTTTTCTTGTTGATAAAGTAAAAAAAAAGAAACAAAAAAACAAGAAAAAAAAAAACAGAAAAATTGTCTTTTGTAGGATCACGAAGAATTTTTTTACTGTCACTGCGGCCCGTGTCACGCCACGCGAATTCAGCATCAATATGCAAATTTAGGTCGAATCCTTCAATTCTGAATCGCGTTGTGCCACAAGTTTTATTACATAACTTGACAAAATAGCTATTAATCTTTAACTAAAACATGTTTTTAGTTCTAGTTTAGGTGCCACTTTTGAGAATTTTGAGATGTTTTTGAGGCATTTATTCGTGCATCTTGCTTTCTTAATTGGGTTAGTGAAATAAAGACGACCAGTTTTTGCTGATTACAGAAAAATAATGCCCAAATGGTATTGGAACAGTAAGAAGAAGTAATATGCTTCCAAATGAGTGCAATAGTCTAGGATTTGATGACCCGAAGTACTTTTAAACGATCGTTAAAAAACCTGTAAAACGGCATCTAAAATTTGCATATTTTAGCCGCTAACGGTCGTCCAGCAATGAAATGCTGGGAATGGCAGTAAAATAAACAATTTCCTCATTCTAACTGCAGTTTCGTTATTAGGATGGATAGTAGTGTTGATGATAAAAATATGAGGCAAAAGTTTTTGCGAGTCCAAAATCGAGTGGAACGCTTTTAGGGAGACTGCCTCTTAAGCGTTGCGTGACGAGACAAAACGGCTGTCAGGGAGACTATAGATAGGTGAACTGGTAGGACAGAAGAGCTGAGATTGAAGTTCCCACTAGTAGAAGTTGGTGCAAACAAAATGCATAGTCGCCTGTTTTGTCTCTTCCAGGGTAGATTCCGTCCGACATCCTGCGTCGAATATGGACAGCAAGGTGCCTACAAAAATGGCATTTACAACATCTATGATAACGACGGAAGCAGTTTCCCAGCCTACTGTGATCTAAAATCCGAGCCCGGTATTGCATGGACCCTAGTCATGTCTTGGAGTAGGGAAAATCGCCTTATTTCTGCTTTTCAAAACGCCCCTCTTCAGGTCAATGCCCCAGAAAACGAGAATTCCCCGAGCTGGGATCGTTACCGGTTAAGTCTGGAGCGAATGAGATCTTTGCAGGTCCACTCCACCCACTGGCGAGCAACATGCAGCTATCCGGCTTACGGCATCGATTTTAGAGACTACCTCCGTGGTAACTTCAAAGACTTCAACATCGTCGATTTCCTTGGTGCTGGCGAGTGTAAGAGGGTAGAATATGTGGATATCCGAGGGCACAATGGCGCGAACCTCAAGGTACCGTTTTGGCAGAAAAAGAACACTTGGATAGTGCATACTGTCAGCAGTTCACATCACTGCGAGTTCAAAGCATCAGTTGGAGCGGTAAACAAGGAGCACAACTTTGCCTCTTATCGTAATATTAATCAAAAGTTCCGCTGCACACAGGCAGACAAATCTACTACTCAGTGGTGGTTTGGAGCTCAACTTAAAAAATAGTTTCCGGAAAACGAGTTTACACAGCTCCTATGTCAGAACTAAGGGGGCCTGCAAATTGTACCGCTCTTATAAACAGACGAAATGCATTCAGTATTAGTGTAGAAGATCTAAATTGTTGAAGATGTACACTCTTAAGATTAGAAACTCTTCTTTTTCATTGATAAGCAGTGATTTTATAGGTGAAGGCAGCATTTTTCATTGCTTGATTGACCTCTCTGTGTATAATTGTTAGAGAACTCACGCCGGAGACGCGAGTTTGTGGGGGGGAGTGGTCTGGGGGCATCCTCTCCCAGAAACGTTTGAAATCTAGAAGTTCGGAAATGTTATTATCAACATTCTCAATGAGATATTTCGAAAAGAACAACTCAACCTGGATAAGGTGTTACACAAAAACATTTTTCTTCTACAAAAGTCGAGGGTAGTATTACCTGCTACCCTTTGGCCAAGCTGTGCCAGCTTCGCTTTGCCCCCGCTTTGCCGTTAATCATTCATTTCCCAAACCTTAATACAACAGAGCATAAATATGTTATTAACAATTGCCTGACTGATTAAGAGTAAAAACTGATAATTGTAACCATTGTGAAATTATGGAGATTAAGAACTGACTGTGAGGAGAAAGGCAAATTACAAGATTACATTGAGAACTACAGCCCGCATCACCGTGGCACAAGTGAGGCCCACAAGTTTATTAGTTTTTTAGCTATTTAGTGTTTTACCAAATGAAGTGTTTACTGGCTCACTTCATGATCACATACCTAGTTTAGCAATCTGAATTCCTTTTAACTACTGTTTGTGCACTATGTTTTAAATACTGTTCGAAAAACGAGCAGGAGTGTATTATCAGTTTTACTAAAAATAAATACTTTAATAATTTTGATCTAAAACTTAGACGTAAAGTTTAGCTTTGTCTTTTATCAATATAAAAACACTCATTAAACATTGACTTCATGAACTATTAAATAAATGAGTTTTTGAAATAATGAAGACAACCAAAACGGAAAATTTTCTCGACTTTTTAACAGCCATAAAACCTTTTGTCAACCTTTTTAGACCCTTTTACAGACCGAAATGACAGATTTTCCTACCCTTTTATATACTTAAACGAGTGAAATCCCTACTCCTTCATATACCTTTCATATAACCATCTCGGGCGGAGCCTCCCCGTATAGGCCGTTATAGGGAGTACTCCACCGGGTTTAGTGCCCTTTCTTGGGTCCTTTATACTTAACGGGAATGGGAAACTTTAAAAAAAGGCACACAACAGAGCAGTAAGCAAGGTGGCTCAAAGTTACGGGTCCAAGCTATTATTAATCTGAAATAACATTTCTAGGGTAAATTAAGTAGACACTGAACCTTAAACCAGCTAAATTAACCAGCGATCGCCCAAGAAATTTTATCGTTGCCATTTATTAGTAACTATGAACTACGTTGAAAAAAAATATTTGTTTAATAATTTATACATTATGTGCAACATCAACCGCAAGTTAGAAGTAATTTAGTCCTATTTTTCCTTGCCAAGTCGTTAGGCCTAATTATTCCGCGCAGTCTTTGCGTTTCGGGTCACGTAATCTGAGCCAGTTTCGCCTCAGATACGTCACCGAAATGCATTGGACGAGAAGGCGTGGGAGGATGCCGCACAGGGACTAGGCACTACTTTCCCTTCAGCGCGGTAGGGAATGGAGAGACCGCGGGCTCATTACTTGAAGAAACGCCCAGCATATTACATTCTCCAACTAATTTCCAAAACGAACATTTTTGCAACACACAGCGACACATTTAACCCGAGACAACCCTGAAGACTTTTCTTCCATATCCGGGAGAAAATGCGTCAAAAAGTAAACTACACACGGCATTTATGTCATGATTTTTCCGAAGTTCCAGATGTTTACCAGGCACTTGTTATTTTCCTTTCTTTATAATCTGCTTCTGCATTAATCCTTTGATAATCAGTAAGAAATACGGTCATGAGGTAGGTTAGATGGAGAACTAATTTCGTTGACTTCGTTTATTTCTAAATACTAAGATCTTCAAGATCTTCTCTTTTGTATTGTTTGTGCTGGCATCTTTATACACTGTCTTTGTGCTCCCCTGTATAGCTACACTGCTCGATAAGGCCAGTTCAACTTTTTTTCTTTTATACTACTAGAGTACGAGTATACATTTCTTGCGTCCGTTTCTGAATTGGACTTTGACGCTTGAAAGTAAAGCTTAACCTTGTTGTTAATATACTTCTCAGTGGGTACAGACTCTGTCACTGGTCAAAGTAGCTTGTGTTTTCTTTTGAATGTTCAGGTCACCTACTTGATTTATAGGCGTCTCGCGCGTCAGGAAAATTCTCCTCCATTGCTCAGAATAAAAAAACATTTTCCTTAGCATTTCGCAACCTGTGACGCGTTTCGACGATAGGTACGTGGTGGACGGAATAATCTTATTGGTGGCCTCTGTCCTGTCATCCTTCTAGACATCAGGTTCGTAGCTAAATCACACTTTTACCTCATACTCTTTTTGTACTGCCCGGCTTACATCCAATATTTTTTGTCTTTATTTACATCAAGAGGTCTATGAATTAACCATTGCAAACAAGTACTGTAGCCGGAATATCATGGTGTGCTTTTCGTAATTTGTGTACGGAAATCAACATTTGAATGTCTCAAGTGTGGTATACAAGAAAATAACTGTTTTTCAAAATTTCTAGGGTACTGTTTCATTTTTTGAACATGACGGAAATATTTTTTCACGCCCAAGCCTCTCCGGGTAGCTGCCCATGATAGATCGTCATTTCATGTCTTTCGGGTCCTCGGTTTGCGTTTTCATCGCGAGGGCCGTTTTCATCATCACGGCCAGTACCACTTACTGTAGCTACTTTACTCTGGTTCTTTTTCTTTACACTGAAACAGAAAAATCAAAACTCAACTTAAAGGGTTAGCATTAGGTAACATCGGCTGAAGTCAGATTGTTTCTTTCAGTAAAATTACATGAAGAACAACTTAAGTCCAACTTTACTATGCGTAATATAAAAGTGACATAGAAAAACTCCACCGTGATGCTTTGAACCCGGGTCACTTGCTTTATAGCCTACATCCATATCCACTATAACATCGAGGACTAGCTTTTAAATCCAGTAATTTTTAAAATATACATGTTTTTATATATGCCGTACCCCATTACAATATTTGAAAGCTAACCGTTTTCAGTTCAGTGCTTAACTCTAATCACTGCAGATCAGTGCTTAACTCTTTACTGTGTTCTCTCCATAACTGGCGCTCTGTAGTTTTGGTTTCTTCAGCTATTCTAGCCTCATTCTACATTCCAGTCTCGTTCCATTATGAAAATAATGCACTGTATAAAATTCATAAGGTGTCCAATCTGGCTTCACTCGACGTTATCTAATGCTGACCAACTTAAAGAGGCGTTGCACTCTTTTTTATATACGAATGTTGTTTTTTCCGGTCCAGGCTAAATATTCTTATTTTTCTGTCGATTTTAGGGTTAAAATATTCTTGAATTATTCTTAATTATGAATTATAGCTTATGGCATTTCCGCTTTATAATGTATTGGGGTTTTATTACCAGTGTTCTTGCCGTTGCGTGAAAGGAATAATTTTCTATGATGGTTTAGTTATTAAAAGCATAAATTGTACTGTATTTACAGATTTTCAAACACAAAATTGAGTATTTTTCAAATTCTCAGCCTCGAGTTTATTCTTAAAATATTTTTAAAATTTGACTTGAAATTTTTGCTTTTTCTTTCCTGAATTTCCATCATCTAACATTTTGGGAGACTTTGTACGTTTTCTGTTCTCTTTCCCTGTCTTAGAGTTTTAAACTCAGTACGAATGTTGCCAGCGTTTGACTCAAATACTTCATTTGACATACATTTTGTCTAATCCGTATCATGAATTTAAATAAAATAAACATTATGATATGGATATTAATTAATAAAATTTTTAAAAAGTTGTCATCTTAGACAATAGGAAGCCAGTTCAAAGCCATTCATCATAATGTCTGCGCGCGCATGCCGCATTTATTGTGCAACCCAATGTTTTTTCTATGGCATGGTATAAAACAGTTATGCAACGCTTTCACGTGGTATACTGTGGAATATCCCACTTGTCACTTGTATACCACTCGAAAGCGATGCATAACTAGTATATAGAAAAACAAAGAGTGTATTAAAACTCTCATAAGCCCCCTCGTAGACTTCAAGGTCTACTTTTTTTTATCATGGTTTTACAGATACTAAACAATTATTGGATGAGGTTTTTGTGAGATCCGGAAAAATCAAGGTCGAGGTAACTGTTATCAGCCGAGCCGAAGGCCGAGGCTGAGAGTACTTTCCGAGACTTTGAATATTTAGGATATCACAAGAACCGAATCTAATAACTGTTTTATTTTACATTGTTTTGAAGAAAATAACGACAAACACACTGTCAGAAATAACCTGAATTGATACGGTTATTGGAAATCATGCTATGCGCGCGCAACCTACGGATTAGTCAGTTTTCTGATGGCAGATAACTAACTAATCTGTAGGTTGCACTGATTTCCAAAATTACCTGTAGCCTCTTAGCCAATGAGAAGACAGATTATGAGTACAATGTATAACAATGCGAATTCTAACAGCAAAGGGTGAAATATCAAACTCAAAATTCACCAAAACAGTGGATAACAATTTCCGCGCGTTTTGACTGGCCACCGTCACTTGGAATATCCTTTAATTTCCAGAATACTCCCCAGGACGGAATTCTTTTAGATAGCGCGCTTGTCTTCAGCAGGTGCTGCCAAGCGCCCGAGTGAGACTTCCTTAATTAGCAAACAGAATCATTGTCACTGCATTCCCCATTACTTAAGATTTCTACAATCAATTTAAATTTCTTGACTTGACTGATTGATTTTATCTCAAAAGACACCCCCTCTTGTTTAAGCTGTACATATCAAGGCTATTTTTTGGCGAGAAAACGGCTTTCCTTTCAGACAAGAAACCTCCAAGGCAACTTACTTACAGTTCGGGGACACTTACACAAAGTAGATGACGATGGCAATGATAACGATGAAAAGCGCTCCAAGGATAACACCAATCACAATCCACTTCCAGTCGTCATTGGATGCATCGGCTAGGGGTAGGTTAGTTGTCTGCAGTTCCTGAGTGGTCAAGGGCGTGGTCAATGGC